GTTTTTCTTTCAAATTACCGAATCGATTGTAGTATTGAGATGGAGTCTCAGTAGCTTTTCATGAAAAGTAGTTTTGGATACAGAAGGCCAAAATCACTGAAATCGATAAGCGATTGTTCACCTTGGATGACGACAGCAATGCTAAATAGACACAAGACGACAGCAACAGCAGCAGACTTGTTTCGAATATGAGCTGAAAAGCTTTCGTGAGTTAAAACAGTACGAGATTATGCCCATTCGGTAAGATGTTCCTATGCTAGCACACCTCCCAATAATCCCAGCATTTGAAGGCGTTTTAGCGAAATCCCTGAGATTTTATGAGCAACACTTTTAATGGGATCCGAACATTTACCCTGGCCCACAAGTTGGGAGTGCTCACTTTTCTTAAGGACTTCACCCGTTCGAACCGTAAGGCTAATGACCAAATCAAGATTTCTGACCTCGGCCTGCCCAGATGAGACTTCGTGACACGAGGAATTGCTGAGAATCGGTCCATCACTGGTACATTCAAAAGTGCATTGATCCGTGTCCAAAGCCTGAAAACAATGGGTTTCGCAATTCTAAATCGAAAGAGTATTACTGGTTAATGCCCGAATGATCTGGATCTCAGCTTAGTCTAATGAAAATCTGAAGCAGCAGCACAACTCCATCTCCGCAGTGCAACCGCAGAAGGGAGTACGTCTGAAGGTGAGGTGATCCTACAACACTGTCCGGTAAGAGTTACTTCTCACTGCTCTATCAGGTAAACGTGCCTATTTTATTGTGTATGAAATTTNCTCAAAAAATAGACCGAGCCTTTAGATCGAAAAAGGGCAGAGGTGGTAGGACATAGACTCACTGATTAGACCTAATCCGCCGAAATGGCCGAAAACGTAGAAAATAGTATAAGATTAGGTGACTAAAGTGACAGAAGCCTAAACCCTAATCAACCTCAAAGGCACAATAGACGATGAACAGAGTTCCTTAAGGTTCCTTTGGGAACGATCTTTTGGTTCCCAAAGATAATATTTTCTGACTCCATGGATGGGTATGAGCCGTCTGTTCGAGAAACGACATAGATAGGACGTGAGAAAAGGATTAGTGATATTGTATTTGGGGACAATCAATCCCAAACTTAAAATGCACTTCCACATTCGACTTCCATTCAAAACCGTAGTGACGTGTCGAAAACGTATTTACCCTGTACGCTAGCCTGCAGTGGCCATCTTATGCACAATTCAGTTCTTTTATCCTCCTGGACGAGTCTAGTACCTTAAGCGGCCCTGACTGTTGATATGAAAGGCTCGGTCGAGTTCGGTGAGTATGGATCAGGGATTCAAACCCGTGACCATGCGTGTTTGATAGAGCGCCACTTCCACTAAACAAGCTTCGCCCTTTCCGAACAATACCATTTGAAACCATCGGCTTTTGTGAGAATGCATGGAATGGATTATGGGTGACACCTCTATTATATCAAAGTCTCAAAGTGTTTTGACGCTGAACTATCCCGGCTTGGGGTGCGCCCACCCAATCCACCTCTGAATGCGTATGTGGCCCATACAATGCCCACGCTTCCTCACCTTTTCCAGTGAGAGTAGGGGAGTCGGAAAGTATCGATCAAAAGCTTTGGTTTCTGAGTGATACCTAGAGTTACGAGTAGGTAAACTGGTAAAAAGAAACTTGATGAACTGACACTGATAATGACTGAGTGGGCGAGTAGTAGGATGGCACAAATGAAGACAATCCGCACAGCTCGAGAACATTTCAGCTTTTTCGCTCCTCTTTTAGCATTCCGTAACTTGAAAATCGTCGAAATTAGCTTAAAAGTACCCGAAGAACAGAAAAACCCACAACTTACCAAAAATGCCTTGGCAGCTATGTAGATGAGCAGAAAAATCAGAGCTATCAATGCAATACCCATACAGACGA